TATATATATATGGCCCACCTTAACCTTAAAATGACACATCATGACAACATTTTAAAGGTTGTTAGTCCTTGACAACATGTTAGCTGAATGCTACATGTTAGTCCACGTTAGCAAACATTCAATTAAAATATGCCAACATTTCTGGAAAGCTAACCATTTTTCAGAAACGTATTGAAAAACACTTATTTAGAGGCGTTTTTCAGCAGCAACTAAGATTTAGCTAAATGTGTTTGAAGTCAATATATTTATATTTGCCAATATAAGTTAGCATAAAAGGGCTCACGATTATTATTGTATTTTTTTTTACCCAAACAAGCAATGCCTGACTTTTTTAAAAAATATTTTCAGTATTTTTAAAAGATCAAAACCTACGCATACTATTTTTTTTTTCTTCAGATGACACTTAGGAATTTACTACCAAGTGCTGCAGTACAAGCGCAAAAAAAAAAAAAAAACCCCAACATATTTCTACAATATGCTGAATCTTCTCACCATCTGTACTCACACAAACGCTAACGTAGTACGGCCCGATCGGAACAATGTGTGTTATGAAATAAGCCCTGGCCCTTTGTGCTCCAACATTCATCATACATCATAACTTAGCCACAGAAACACACATCATCCTAAAAGTGGTTTCTCTTTGACTCCACTTATGCCTTCATTCACTTTCTGTCACTATTTATATATGTATATAAAACAGGAGTGACTCTTTCTTCAATTTCTGTTGGTATATGTATATCAGCATTGCGTTCATTTTGTTTCACACACATATCACATATCAGAGTTTCCACAAAGGCATGTTGATGTCACAGATCTGCAAAAACAAAAGAATTTCGGCAATAATCCGCAGCACACACCGACCCCGAGGTCCAAACTTCAAAGGCTGAAACAGCAACGTCAACTGTTTTTCATACGTCCGGGGTCGTAACGCGCCTTTTTGATGTGCTGCCAAAAAGCATAGCGGCGTCACAGACAGGGGTTGTCCGTGGGATTTTATTCGGCGGCCATCGGGAGGTTAACTACCGAGCTAATAGAAATTTGACTGAAATTCAAGATAAAGCTCCGCTGTTTTTCCCTTTTACACCTAATGGAAAACACCTGTGTGTCCCCTGCCAGCGGGCAACATCTGAGCGAGGCTGTGCAGTGAAGCAGACCTGCGATCAAAGTTCTACAACCTAGTCAGGTCGGCTGCGTTAGGGATTCGTAGAGAAATACGACACACATTTTTAAACGAAAGTTTGATTTTAGCACTGACTAAACCTCTGTTTAAAGGACATATTTTACATGGGGGTAAAAAAAAATCCCACGACACAGATGTCACTAAAAGTATATGTAACGAAATCGAATGAACGTTTAGATGAACATCGCAGTATATGAACATACATATACCGACAGGAATTGAAGAAAGTCAGCGGCTCAGAGTCACTCTCTTCTTTTTATATTTGAAAAAAGTGGTTGTTGCAGTTGTTTAGTTAGCCACGTTGCGACGTACAAGGAATGTGTAACAACGAGTAAAATAATGACGAAAATTGGACAAGAAAATTGCTAAGTCAAACGCTAGCAAAATATTATTGATCTAAGATGAATTTGAAAAGGTCCGAGACTTTATTCTCTTCTAGTAGATGTTTGAAAATATTTTTCTTTGTTCGTTGTATTCTCTTATATTTGAAAATATTTTTCTTTGTTCGTTGTTTTTTAGAACATCGCATACACACTTGCCTTACAGCCCAGTGTGAGTAAACACTTACCATATCCTACTGTGTTTCCAGTTAAAGCATTGTGTCTCTCCGGGACAGATTAACGTTAGCGACGGCCTCAGTCAAACGCCAATCCGTCTAAGTTCATATCGGGCACAGAGCGGTCATTAAACAAGGCATGCAGTCAATATTCACGTCAAAAAAAAAGTGACGGCGGCTAACATGAAACACATGCAGAGACAGCGGGGAAAAAAGGGGTTCGGTCACAGTGAAAAATTATCTGAGGCTCCGTCGGCATCAACATGCTAACTGAATTACCACAAAAAAAAAAAAAAAGACAGACAGACACGTACAACACATGGAGCGCCGCGAGCTTTGCTGTTTTCCATTAGTTGTCATGCTAAGAGACATGGATTCAATTTTTTATTTTTTTTTTTTTCCCAGAAAATCATTAGCCATTACTTTAACTATATATAAACACCATTAGCTTACGTTGAAGGTTACATTTATAAATTAAGATCAATATATGAAAATGGAAAAAAAAAAAAGAAAATTACCTGTAGCTTCTTAACGCCGTGTACCGTATATGTGCATTGAAAATGATGCTACCCGATTATTAACATCTGTCAACGTTTTCTCGGCTAGCTTGAATCTATTCCAGGTCATCTTAATTCAAACGTGGTTTTAATTTTAGACGTTTCTGGTCCGATGTAGGGTAAAGATGTCTAGTAATGAATCAAGACGAGCGATAACTACTTGGGGATATTTCATCCGAGGGGTTAATATCCATGTAAAATATACTTCAATTTAACAAGACATGCAACAGCGTCCTGTGAGATGCAACGCAACAGGACGGGATTTAAACAAAATAGTAAACATTAAACAACGCAACACGTAGTGGAACTTTCTCTACAGCGCCCCCCTTTGGTTGATAAGAAACTTTTCGCTTCATGCTTTTGAAAATCCAATGGAATTCCTTTACTACGGGTGAAATATTTGGTCAAAAAAATCGTCTTTAAATTTGCTCTTTTGGCACGGATAATTAGCAAGATAGAAATAGTTCCATCATGTTTTTTTTTTTTTTTATCACGCCGCCACCCAGAGAACCGAAACTCCACTTCCCGCCTGGTGACTGATCTGGTTAACCCGTCCACGGACACAGTCTAGTGTGAAGGAGACCGCGGTGCCGTTGTGAACCTTGAAGGATACTCGCAGACTCAAACTGGCCCACTGGCTACCTTCTGGCATCTGACCGTCCACTTGCTGGGCTATAGGGACAGGTCGGGTGACATCTGCCGCCCGGCCTCCTCTGCCCTCCTCTGGATGACTTCGTCTGAGCAAGGTGACCTTCACCAAGTTGCAGGAGTGAATGAGTTTGAGATCCAGAGCCACGCTGACTGTGCCGCCCTCCTTGAAGACGAAGTCTCGTCGTTGTTCCGGGGATCCCTTCGCTAGCAGCGTCATTTGAGACACCTGGGGGCTGCTCTGACGGAAGAAAAGCGGCTTGTTTCGGGCCGCGCCGGAAGGAAGGCCGGTGTGGGAGACGGAGGCGTAGAGGGAAGAAGAAATGGCGATCGGGACCCAAACCAAACTCAGGCTGCTGATTCCCGTCTCGTCGCCGAAGTACCGGACGTTGCACTGCGCAGGAGAAAGGATCTCAAAGCTGAGCGTGTCTCCGGGATTAACCTTGGCTGCTCCGGAGAGAGATATCGAAGTGTCCCGATAGTGAACCCCTGTCTTGAAGGTCCGGCACAACTCCGAGCCTGTTCCGTTGCGACTCAGGTACGCCACCAGCTGGAAGCCCTCGCTGACGCACGCCTGGCCCATGGAGTACAGAGCCTGCTGGAAGACGAAACGCGCCGTGCCGCTTTCGGCGAAGCGTATTCCACGGCCGTCGTGAGTCATCCCGACCACGTACGCGTCGGAGGTCGAGGTGGTGCGGAAGACGGGGCGGTGGTTGGTGTGGTAGTGCGCGGAAACCATCGCCTGGGCCGTCATGGCGACGGCGCCGGTGTCATGGGAGAGCCAAAGAAGGCTGAGGGGCGGTGCCGCCGGGTTGTAGAGCTGCAAACCTTCCTTGCTTTGGTTACAGTATTGCGTGGCACTCCGTACGACCACGACGATCAGATTCCCCGGCGCGACTTCTGCGACTCCACTAATGCTGACGCCCTGGAGTGAGCTTCCCTCGCGCTGCTCTACCCTCACGCCGCTGAGGTCCTTGCTCTCCGAACCGTCCGTGTTGTTCATGCGTAGACACACCTGGATGAAGCTGCGACACCCGTGGCTCACCGACAGGTTTTCGTCCAGCCAGACCAGACCGTGCTGCCGGAACGCCAGGCGTCCGTTTTCAGTGGACACCAGACTTACATCGCCTCTTCCTTGCACCTGGAGCTGCGTGCCGTGGAAGAGCCGAGTTACGTTATCGCCTCTAAGACTCGGCAGGTTTACATCTGCGGCCCAGGATAGAGAGAGAGCGCTGTCGTCGTCAACGTAGCCGGAGCAGACGGCGTCTGCGGTGAAGGTGCAGGGGTACGAAACGGGTTCTCCGTCACACTCCGTACAGGCCTGGCACTCGTCTATGTCTGCGTTGAAGAAGTAGCCGTGACCGCACATTCCTGAGTTGGCGTCATGCTTCGTCATTCCCTGGCACCGGAATCCGCCTGCGTTAGCGAAGAAAAAGCATCGACTTTGCTTCACTGGCCAATATTAGCAACATTACTAACGTTATCTACTAAACTACCTTATCAACTA